TTACCAGCTTCATTTGTTATGAAAAGCTCAGCAGAAATGGGAGGCCTGCCATTTCACGGTTCATAATTAGAATACTATCAAAATTAAAGAATGCAAAACTCTAGAATCATTATATTTTAAAGAAGAATCCACTATTATTTTAGATGATCTGTTGTTACATATTCCCACTGGAGACAATTTTAGATAAAAAGGGGACGATGGCATCTGAGCATGAGTTGGCTACCATATGAAATATAAAACAAACTAACAGCAGTAGAATATCAAAATATTTCCAATAATAGCTCCAGATCCTCTTATTGATTGCAAAGTCCACGTAGGAAACTTCAGTTACCTCAATCGAAAAAAGTGTTTGGGAGTCCGGAAAGGGATCTGTATCCACGAGAAAATAATGTTGAACAGCAACTGCAAAGCATCACGGGGAATTTGGGATACCCCAGTATTGACATGTACGGTACTCGCTTGCAAACTAAGAAATCTCTGAACAGAATATCTACAAAGTTTAGTAACATCTCTTGCTTCAACACTAGTGGAAGAAATTTCATTTTGGAATTCTTGCATGGAACAGCTCCTAGAACTTCGACGGAAATCCAAAAGCTGCCGTAAATTTTTGCTAGTCTCCAAGTCTATATAGCCCAGTCTCCTTAATAAATCATGAACCAGCAGAGTATGAAATTGCTCCTCTGAGGTTTCAAGACCATAAATACTACAATCTTGTTTACCATGGGAACTGACAAAAAGAAATGTTAATCCAGTACTAAAGGCTAATAGTGAACAACCTAATCCAAAATCAGAAACTATCTTCATACTTTTTCTGTCCATGCCAATGAATGACGCTCCTAAGAGATCAAATTCTCTTGCTAGCCTCATGAGCTGAGAAGAAGCGTGGGCAAGCAATTGCAACAAAGAGCTGAGTCCTTGTGAAGATTCCGACTGTTGAACCAAAATCCTTTCCCCTAGTCGTTCAGTACTTCTGGATGCTTCTTCTGAAAATGAATTTGTGCTCAATAATTTAAGTACATCTGCTACCGTTCCAACAACCTTTGATCTTATAGTAATAAACCATCTCTGGAAACTAAAAGCACGACCAGAAACAGAGGTACCAAAAGCTTCCTCTAAAGAACAAAGTTTGTTGGAGGCCCCAACAACATTTTCAATTTGATTAACTGTCGTAGTTTCCCCGGCAGTATTTCCAGAAAGAGTAAGCCTGAACAACTGGACTTGCCTTTCTAATTCTGAAAGATGGGATAAGGATTTCAACCACAAACAACAGATATCAGATCGAACCATAGGAATTAGATCCCCAAATATGTAAGCAGCTACCAACCATGCGCCATGACATGCCGAATATTTTCCAAGCTTATAAGACGACCAATAGTCTTTTTTATCCAAAATTTCCTTCACACAGTCAATAATGAGACTTTCATTCTGGGATAGGGAACCATAAGCTGAGAGAGAACTACAACGAGATAGACGAAAATTTCTATTAGAAACCGTATCTTCCCCTATCTTCAGCCACATACAGTGATATCCAGCATGGTAGTGCAATAAAAAGTGATATATTACGCGGATGTAAACAGGAAGTAAGCTGCACCGGTGCACATGCTCAACCAAATGCTCCATTCTGTTAAAGACTTGGGTGGCACCAGCAGTGGAAACTTCCAGCATTTCAAAGCAAGTTATCAGAATCTGGGATAAACAAACCAAAACTCTCGATGCAGTTGATGTATGGTCCTCTTTGTCGAGCTCTGTCATATGATGATCTTCTGAGCCTGAATTCTCCATGCTGGTAACTTCATTGAGCATGCGTACCAGATGTTCGATAACTATACAGATCTTATCCAGTACAATACCAGAGAGATCTCGATGTCTTTCGACCAGATTAACTAAAATAAAGAGTAAACTCTTTACCTCCTGCTCCGCCTCTTTGTTTGGATGAGGATTATCAACCACTAACTTTATTAGTTGGGAGATACGATCGATGGTGAAAGTAATCATGCGAGATGCAACAATTGAACCAATTCCACCAGCTGCATCTTTCGGTATTCCTAAAAGCTTGTAAAAAATACTAGCTAATACATGAACAGAGAAAAGCCTCTCTGAGATAATTGAAGAATGTAGTTTGAACTCAACAATTTGTAAGAACTTGGAGAAACTAGTGAGGATCTCTGTGCATGGAATTGTCTCCAGGTTGGGCAGCGGCATCTGCAAAGTAAGAGAACGTAAACAGTAGGTGTGTGATGCCAATACCATAAATTTGACAGAACGAAAGAAATACCTTGTATAAAGCTCTTAGAGCTTCAAACTGTAAAGCTGGTGGAAAATCAGACTGATTTATGACACCAAACAACTTTAGAGTCACATTTGAACTGGCATGGAAGTGATAAATTCCTTTGGCTAAAATGAAATGGAGGCATTTTAATGCCAAAGCTTGCAGGCTCAAACCTCTGTCCTTTGCCATAAATGAGAAAAGTAGTTCCACCTGGTAAAGAAAAGTAATTTCATCTGTTACCAAAATCCAGTAATAAATATGCAAAAAATCAGGTAGAAAGTACAATAGATGTCCCTGATTTCGATATTATATAGTCTATGATTCAACTAGCTTGCAGAGACCACCTCAGTCATGATTAATATAGTAATATCGCATGGCTTTACATATTAAACCAATCAATCAACTGTACCTAAATCCCAAGCTAGTTAGCCTAAGTAAATATGATTCTTCTCTATAAATTGTGCTTTATTCAGGCCTATTTCATTCTAATATTGGTAAAGAATTGGTCTTTTAAATTAGGGGTTCTCTAAAGCTAGAGATTCCCTATACTTAGCACTTATGCTTACTCTGGCAGAAGCTTCTCTAAAACCAGCTTCATGCCTAAAATGATATATTTGGAGGTCCACATAGGAGATGATGAAACCATCTTAGGCAACCTTCTCTCGTTTCCGGTTATGTACTGATTTTTATCGACTTATGACATTGTATAATTAACCTCAAATTAATATCATAAATTCCTAACACCAGCTATACACACTGTTTACCAACATATCCATCTTGTAAGATTACATAAAACCTTAAAATATGGTAGTTGCTCTTTTGTGCTTTTTGGGTCTTAAGTTTCATTTCAAGAAAATTAATTTGGCTCCATCTTATTTCTCTACTTCCTTTATCATCATTGCAGTTCTTTACCATTAATGATTTAGGACTTTGAAACAACACTTAGCTTCTATTTCTTTTCTTATTTTCCTTAACATTTTTGTAGTTCTTGCCTCTCTCTTTGCACATTTGTTGGCAATAGAGAACAATGAAAATCAAAATAAATGAGTAAAATTATATACCTGTATAGGAATTAAAGATGTCCATTTAGAAGCAATTTTGGAAAGTGAAACTAGCATCACCAACGAGAAGTCTTCTTCTGAAGATTCTAGGATAAGCTTCATACCAGTCTGCAATATCAGAAAGGTCCACTTTAGCGCTGCAATAGAAATTTGAACTCACTTCTGCATGTAAGCAAGTGGTTAGAAAATACAGGTGTACCTGGTATCGTTAAAAAACCTATCTTATTGAAGTTGTAAGTCGCAACAAGAAACTATTGCAATAGTCATTAATAGATTATAACTAGCATTTCATGCATACAAAGGAAAAACATTGCATTCACCATGCATAAGGTTGCCGTCTCTATGACTGTTAACAGTATGGTTTCTGAAAAATGTTTTGTTCGAAAAGCAAGCACTTTTGGAGCAAAACGAAAAGGGAAAGAAGGATAAGGGGCCTGGGTAATGCGCCAAAAAGTGTAATCAGAACGCCTGCATGTGCTTGGTGGCAGAAACACATATTGAAGAGAAATACTGAACCTTATGAGCTCTATCCGCTAGTACAAGTGAGCACCACATTTTAGCAAAAGCACGTCCTCCTGCTAACCTTATAACCCTTGATGTTTCAGATGACATCAGCAGACCTCCAAGCATTTCCAGAAATACATAAGCAAAGTCGTTCGCCAATTCAGAAAAGCATCCAGCTGCAAACAAAGAAGCCTTTGCCTGTAGATAGATGCAAAATGTTTGTATCAGTTATGATTCATGCCAAAAGTTAGACGCAAACAGAAACAATATGTAGTTAGTGTTACCTCAACCTCTGGACTACAAACAAAAAGAATAGCAACGCAAAATAAGATGGTCAAGTATTGGCGACAAAATGAAAAAGCGAAGTTCTCTACGGACAAAGGAGACAATGATCAGAGTGATACCCCTTTCACATTGATTAGGAATATCAGACAGATGAGGAGGGCAGTGGGGACAATAGCGAAGAAAGGAACCACGGGAGGGTCCATAGAGGATGAGATTACCTAATGCTTGATTAACTCCTTTTGCCCCTTAGAATTTTGATCATGCTGAAACTTCCACAGTTAGTTTAATTGCTAGAGGGAGATTATCGCCTCGGAGCATAATTTTTCATAGGAGGTAATATGTTCAGACCTTTTCCAGGGGCCCAATGATCCATCCATAATGCGGTAATGGGATTAAATCCCTAATGCTTTTTCAAGACTTAAATTTTTTTAAATCTACTAATCACCTATCTTGTGTCTGTCTTAAGAGCCTTTGGTCAGTAAAGACAAGATTGAAGGATTTAGGAAAGAACTTGGTTTTGCCATTGTTTTGATAACATAAAGGGGAAACTGTGAATATTTTTGGACTCCTATTTTGAGTATTAGATCAAACAAACAGCATGTGAGTATTCAGCTAAAACACTCTGAATATAAAACTCTCCAGTTTGTGTTACTTGCATAGTTGCATTTATCACAAATGCACAGCTAGAAGGAGTTAGCTCTAAGGGAGCAGACTAGAGCCTCAGCAGAAAATTCAGAAGGTCCACGGCACATAGAGGGAGACTTTAATTTTATATTTTTCCCAGAAGAAAATTTGAGAGGACTGCTTCATTCCAAAGTCTACTTTTTCATGTGGAGGGTTTTGTAAAGTTATACGTGGTACCATTCAGATTTCCGATTTTTTGGCATAATGCGTGAGCGTGGTACACGTTCCACAGTACCATGGAGAACTTATTTATGACTGGCGAGCTAGCTGCCAAAATCTGGAGACTATTCTGAAACATATTTGGGGTAAAATGGCAGGAAATCTTGATCATTCATATCCTACAATGCTCTTCAGCACACTTGCTCCAAATCATCCCTATAATTGTGTATTGGGAACTAGGAGCCATGGATGAGCAAGCAGATTTTCCAAACAAACGTGTTATGGACAGGGGGAAACATCTTGTACTCCTACACCTTAATAAAGTCTTCCCAAAACTGAATCTTAACAAGCAGTGGATAATCTGTTGTGACATACAAGCCCCATATGGACTGTAAAGTCGTTTACTGGGAAAAAACAGTCAGCAATATTGGGCTAATACAACAACAACAACAACTATGCCTTATTCTCAAACAAGTTGGGGTCGGCGATATGAATCGCTGACCACATTACTCCATCTAAACTCATCTCATGCCAATATTATGCACATATAAATAATATGAATATCAGGTAAATAATGTCAAAATAATATGTAGTGCTGAGTAATATGAGCACGTCTTACCTCCAGAACATGCATAGACACCAAGCTTGAAAGGATGAGGTATCTTACATCAGCACTATCTTTTGCAATATGAGCCCAACAACCAAATAGAGCTAAAGCCAATGCTCTCTCTTCAATGTCTCCAGTGTCGAATACTATCTTTATTCTACTTAGAAGTTCTCTATAGCTATCTAATTTATCCTTCGAAAGGATCCCCTTATCTTTTCTCCCCTTGCTCCTCAATCGCCTCCTCTGCTTGAGCTCGGACAAGAAAATCTTCACAATGCAAAGCTTCATATGTTTATCCCCTGACTTAAATGCATCTGCAAGCCTAAGGAGGATAGTATTTGCAAATAGCTTATCCTCCCCAGGAATTAAGCCGAATACTTTGTACTCAGCAGCACTAAGATTTGACTCTCTACTCCACCACTCAAGTTTTGGCCCAATATCTAGTATGGCTTCTGCAGATTTACCTAACCATCATGAGAGAGAATACACAAGTATCACTCAGAAACGATAAAGTTATTGCAAAATGGATTAAACCAAACAATGATTCTTCACAACATTTAAGAGACATTGACAATCAAAGTGGAATCATTATTGAAAATTGTAAGAGCAAAAGACGTTCTTATAGAAAACGACAAAGAGGGTGTTTGGGTGGGCTTAAAAGCTGTTAAGCACTTTTTGGCTTATTTTGGTGTTTGGTAAACACCAAAGGTGCTTTTAAGCCAAAAGAAGCCATAAGTTGTTCACCCCTCGCTTATGCTTTTCAGTTTACAAGCTCTTTGAGTTTGACCAATTATTTTACTATGTTATCCCTTGAATTTTCTTATAATCTCCAAAATACCCTTCAATTCACACTCCTATTTATTTTTGTTTTTCTGTTCCGGAGAAGTTGTGGTTTTCTTTCTCTTCAAAGGCCAACACGTAACTTATAATTCCATCCCTTATAATATGTATTACCATTATCTACAAATATCATCTTGCCATTTGACCAAACATCCAGTTTGAAACAGATTTTTAATTGTGCCGATATTAGATATGAAATTTGCAAGGCTCCCTAATGAAAACTGCAAAACTCAAATGGATTTGCATATCCATTGCATTACGTTATAAATTGATCGAATGGTGGAGATAAATCATCCATTGTATTTTAATGTGCTCTTTTCTTCGAATTTTAGACTCATTTTGTATTATACTTTTTAATTTAGGCATACATTTGGACAAAGTAGGCTTTGTATTATACTTTTGCCTGTGTGATAGTGGTTTAAAGTTTTGTCATCCTCCAAAATCAGTGAATTGTGCAATTCAACTGTATTTAAGAAGAGTAAATTGTAAAGCAGAGAGATTTTCTATAATGCAATAGCATAAACATGTACTTCAACTAGGATTACCCAGGATATTAATTATTTTCAAAAGTCTATAATTATATGCCTGTGATACAATATTTTCATGGAAATCAAGACAGCATAACTTATCGCATAAATATAACTTTAGGATTAAAGTTTTCGTAATAATAAGCACCTTTTAGTGTTAACAGTTTTAAGAACACACATCAACTCCTTATTTTCAGCTTCTAACACTTATATCTAAGACGTCACCATTTTTTTATAAAATCGCTCATAGAAGTAAAATCCTAGATCCGCCTCAGCTACTAAAACTTAAAAAGTAATTTGCAGCACTTGGTACTTAAAAGCTACTTTTATTCAACTAAACAGAAGGAACTCTTAATTTAATTAACAAAAGTATTACTCACCAGGTTTATTAGAACGGAGGCCCTTTTCAAGGTCAATGCTCCACTGCATCGCACAAGCCGATGGAGTTCTCTCCATTCTTATATTCTCCTGAGGACAATGAGCTTGAGAGGGAACAAAATTTGTCTGAACTCAATCAGTATTAGCACTGCAATAGCTTTGTAAAGTCGAAGAGAGAAAAATATTGTAACTTTATAAAATCGGAAAGAGAGACAACAGGCATCAGAAGAGAGGGAGAGGAAAATTTTGTCTATACCTGGGACTTACAAACTCCAGTTTGCTCAGCGAGGGCCGTGGGAAGAAGAGGAATGAGCGGAAACACTTCCCAAATTAGGATTAATATTTGTCAAACTTTGGCAAAAAATAATGTACTCTCAAGGCTCAACACTCAAATAATTTGGATTGATTTCAATCGTAAATAGGAAAATTATAGTATCACTTTTATCTACGAGCTAAAGAAAAGATAAAAACAAGAGAAAGATCTTTCATGTATTTTTCGCTCCGATTAGGTCACTGACAGGAAATACAATAGCAATAGCAGTAGAAGAAAGGGGGGAAATTGAAACAAAGAAGAAAAGGAAAAAGATGGTTCAAAATAGGCAGGCACCAATCTTCAGTTAAGCACTTCTTGAACTCCCAAAATTCGACAATTTCAAACAAGCAGTGGTGCGTGAACTCACACTCTGTTGAAGTGGCAGACAAAACCAATAAAAAAGTTACATGTCAGCAACAAATAAAAAGAGAGACAAATTTTGTTAATAAAAAAATCTGATCAGAAAATAAGAAAGAAACAAACAGAGGTGGCCGGCTGACCGTTCGTGTATTGTTTTCTGGAAGTATCAAAAAATTAAAGTTTAGATATTTCTTGAAATGGATTTAAACATCCTTGCAACTCAGCAAGCGCTATTGGATATCTTCAATGTTAGAGGAAAGTGACATAAATTTCTTGGTACAGTCACAAGACCTCAAGAGGCAAGGGAAAAATGACTATGTGAGGAAGTGTCATTCTTCCTTGGCCAATCCAAAATCCTGATTAAGGTGTAATCTTGATTTGCTGATTATTGGTAGAAGAAAGGAGCTTTTCTGGTTGTGTTAAGTTGGGTCTTTTGGTTGGAGGAGGCGAGGTGGTGTGGTGGTGCAGCAACTGATACTGAGAAAGAGAAGCTGATGGTTATGGTGGCCGTTGGCCAGATCTGGGAATGGGAGGAGGTGGTGGTGAAGATGGCTCGGCAAGTAGAAGAAAATAGGTTGAAAATAAGCTCAAAAGAAGCTGTCACCGAATTCCGGTAATATTCCGGTGGAAAATATACAATGTTGGCTTCTTACGCGCTGATAAGACGTGACATACACGGAATTTACATGTCAGCAGAGTGTGCTCAATAACACATTTTGGAGGGCGTTCAAGTGTTCAATAGTAATAAATCTGCTTGAGGTGTCTAACTGAAAAATAATGATAACTTTAAGGGTCTGCCTATATATTTGGCCTTCAAAATACCTCTCGGCCGGTTAAATCCTTCTCCAAAAAACTTTAAAACGACAATTGGCACGCCCTAGTTGCACTAAAATAACCTGCACCATTTTTTATTCTATTTCATAAACCCCACCAGACCCAACTTCTTTACCCACCTCCATCCGTAATTTGTATCCCCCTTATTGCAGCAAATAATGCACTTTTTTTGGAGAAAAGAAATTAGAAATAATATGTTGTATTTCAAAATACTAATACTTCAACTTATTCACACACACACACAAAAAAAAAAAAGAATTTAAACTTATCCCAAAGAATGATGGATGGGAAATATGAGAATTAAACTACACAAGAACATCGCTTACAAACTGATAATTTCATAAGTAGATATTTATAAAACTTATTTTCTTATATTTCTTGAATTAAAAAAAATTAAATCCAACAACGAAAAATATATCTAAATTTAAATTGCTCAAGTCTTTCTGCCTTTGAAGGTACTGAAAAACATTCCACATTAGAGCATCACAAACCCAAAAAAGCATTGTGGAATTTCTTGTCATGAAAAGGAGAATACCAAAGCTTTAATAAGAGCACTAATGGATAGTGAAAACAAAGAAGAGGAAAATCAAGAGAATCTTCTTTATCATCAGCAGCAGAAGAAGAGTTCATTAAGGAGTAAAGCAGCACACTTTGTATCAGATGTTGCTACTATTATTTTGAATCATCACTGAAATAAAACAAAGATAATAAGGGGGTGAGAATAATTTAAGTATCGGGGATTCGGATGGGAGTAGCTGGGTGGGTAAATAAGTTGGATTAGGTGGGGTTTAATAAAAAATGGGCCGGGTTATTTTAGTGCAACCCGGGCGCGCCACATGTCATTTTTAAGTTTTGAGGAGGGATTTAACGGGTGAGAGGTATCTTGAACCCACAAGCATAACGATAGGGGTATGAATATTAAGAAAGTAAATGTCACGATCCCAAAATCGACCCGGTCGTGATGGCGCCTATCGTGAAACTAGGCAAGCCTCAACTTAACAATCAACCCGATAATGATAAATTTGAAAATATTTACAGAAACTTTTAACAGTTAAAGAACTATTTGAAACATAAGAAATTCCAAAAATAGATACAATCCAGCCAAAACCGGGGTGTCACTGAGTGTATGAGCGTCTAAGGAAAATACATAGTCTAATATAATGTCTAAGGGAACAACTAAAATACAACTGGAAAGTAAGGTGGAGAGCCAATGCCTGCGAACGCTATGCAGCTATCTCAATAATATCCTAAGTCAGAAGCCTCGATCAACAACCGCCACTGGATCCAAAAGTACCTAAATCTGCACATGAGGTGCATGGGGTAACGTGAGTACACCAACTCAGTAAGTAACAAGTCCAACCTTTGGACTGATAGGTAGTGACGAACTCAACCTCATCAAAGGTAACAGAAATAATGTACAAAAGTGTAGGCATGCTTTCAGTTAAATAAACAGCTCGAACAGTAAAACAGAGCAAGTATGAACAAGGTAAAAAATGTAACTTTGCTACATTTACATGTCAATGCATATGCTGTGTGAAATGCACCATGCTGAGTGTCTCATGTGCCCACAATCTCAAATGCTCGTCCACTCAGTACTGTATATGGCTCCTACGATCCAGGGAAGATGCATCCCAAAATATATACATCTCTGACAGCAGTCACTCAGTACTGAGGAAGGCCAATCCAGTTTGTGGAGAAGATCCATCTCTAGATAGTATCAATGATAACAACCTCACAGCCACTCGGTACTATATATGGCTCACAAGGCCTAGGGAAGATCCATCCTGGAATATATACACATCACATACCATCGGTCTCCAGTACCGAGGAACAGGCCAACTAGCCTCATAGAGAAGATCTATCTCCATATCAAGGGAAGATCCATCCCTGAATATAATCAATTGTGCTCACTGGGGATGTGTTACAGACTCTGGAGTGGCTTCTACAGCTCAAGCGCTATCACAAGCCAACGAAGGCATATATCAATAATTCGCTGCGGCGTGCAGCCCGATCCCATAACTGTCACTCACAATTAGGCTCCCGGCCTCGCTCAGTCATCACTCTCTAGTCTCACACACACGGGCTCACGATGTCATGAAACTAGCCCCAAATAATGATATGATGTGCCAAGTATTAATAACTGAGACTGAGACATAATATGATATGCATGAACAAGACTGAGTACAAAATATCAGCGAATGTAACGAGATGGCAGCAATAAACGACCACTCGGGTCTCAACAATATCGGCGTGAAGCCATAATAGGATATCTAGCATGTTTTTACAACACATTTACTTAATCACATGATAAAAACACATATATCAACAAGAAAGAGCTACTAAGCGGTGCCATGGAATGATCCAGGCTGCAATTCTCACGGTGCACGCCCACATGCCGTCACTTGGCATTTGCGTCACCTCAATAGTAATCATAGAACACATAGTTTGGAGTTTCGAACCCTTAGACCAAGTTTGGAAGCATTACTTACCTTAAGTCAAGCCAAACTCTAGCCCGCGACGCCTTCGCCTCTCGATTCGGCCTCCAAATTCTCTGAAACTAACCAAAATCAGTATATTATCATCAATATATGCTAAAGGAGTGAAACCCATACGAAAATTACCAAATTAGATAAACAATCTCAAATTTGCTCAAACCCGGCCCCCGGGCCCATGTTTCGGAATCCAATAAAAATTACAAGACTAGAAAGCTCATTCACTCACGAGTCTACCCATATCAAATTCATAAAAATTCGACATCAAATGGCCATCCAAATCCCTAAAATTAACTCTCCAATTCACCTCTACTTTTTCCCCAAATTCCCAATTTAGATGTTAAAAATCACGACACAATCACGGAATTTAGCTAAAATTAAGTGAAGAACACTTACCCCAATCATTTCTCTGTAAACCCCTTCAAAAATCGCCTTCTACCGAGCTCCCGCTTCCATTATATATTATGAACTCGAAACCGTCGTTTGGATCTTTTAAATCTGCCCAGATACACAGCCATCACGATCGCGAAGAAGAAGAAAAAGATGCCCTTGAATGACCCTACGCGGTCGCATAATAACCTTCGCGATCGGTTTAAGCACCACTGTCTGAACTACGCGTTCGCGAAACTGACCTCGCAAATGCGAAGAGATAACCCCACTGCCTCAGCTCAAACCCAGCACTACGCGAACGCATGCTCACCAACGCGAACACGATGCTCCATCTGTCATACCCTATGCGAACGAGGACCCATGTTCGCGTATGCGAAGAAGAAACAAGTAGCCTCAGACCTTTCCCTTACGCGACCGCGTCCTTCTCTCCGCGATCACGAAGAAGGACCTTCTGCAACAAAAATACCATAAAAAGGCCAACTTTTCAAGTTCAAATATGCCCCGTTAAGCATCCGAAACACACCCGAGGCCCTCGGGACCTCAACCAAACATGCCAACACATACCATAACATCATTCAAACTTAGTCAAGCCTTCGAATCACTCAAAACAATACCAAAACACCGAATCAACCTCGGATTCAATTCTAAGAACTTATAAACTTTCAAATTCCACAAACGACGTCGAAACC